GTCCGACGTGGTCTCGACCCCGTTCATGATTAATGAGGATTTCTACTACCTAACCCTAGAAGGCGTGACCGTCGACGGTGGGTCGACTCAGTACCTCCGACCCGACGGGTCGGAGGACGAGGAAAACAAGGGCAACATTATAATCGACTCGGGGGCAGCATTGACATATTTGCCCTTGGAGATTTACGAGGGGTTGGAGGCGGATCTTGTGAAGGCAGTGAGCGGTCAGAGGGTTGACTCACCATACGGGTCGTCCAACCTGTGCTACCAGGGAGAGGATTTCCAAGCGCCATCGGTGGTGATGCATTTTAGTGGAGGAGCTGACGTGGTGCTGGAGCAGGATAACACATTTACTAATTATGGTCAGGGGATTATGTGTCTGACAATGGTGCCGATGTCACCGAATGACAATGGCCTTCCAATTTTTGGGAACTTGAACCAGATGAATTACTGGATCGAGTACGATATTGTTGGGAAGAAGGTCAATTTTAAAAAGAGCGACTGTGCAGCCGAAAGCGCCGCACGTTTGATTGGTTAAATAGTTTGTCTTGTCTTTTAAATAATTGCTTATGTATGTTGCACACTACATAAATGTCAGAAGGCAAAGTTCTATGGGCCTGTCCGTTTAGCCCTCAAAAATAATATACTTCAATTATCAATTTTCACATATTTTAATCACTATTTTTTTTTATCCGACAGTTAAACCTGAACCTATATTATCAAGCTGTTAAATTCCTAAACCCAGTACTGGTGTAATCGAATCGAACGGGTCAAGCTTGGTCATTTCGAGCTCATTTTCATTTACGTGCAAAGACTATACGTGTTCGCTCGTTTATTTTTTTTAGAGCTAAAAATCGTCTTCAGACTCGTACATTTAATTGTTCATCAAAGTTCGAGTTCGTTTGTGTTCGAATAATTTAGAACACAAACCTTTTAAATATGTTTGGTTAACTCGAAATATTTTCCTTTAAAATCATTTGAACTCAAAAATAAGAAAAATACATATTTCTTTTTTATTTATTTTATTATATTTTTTTATTAAAAATATCTTAAAACTATATAAAAAAATAAAATAAAATTACATTTAATTAATGTTAGCAAACATTATCTAACGTTCGCTACCGAGCTCATGTTCGTTCGATTATTAGACGAGTCTAATTTTTTGTTCGAACTCAACTCGATCAACAACAAACGAGCTATTGTCAAACACAAACGACCTCGAACGAATTTTTGTTCGCGAACTTTCGGTTCGTTAACAACCCTATTTGAACCTATTAGGCCTAGCCTGAAAGTTAATTAATATATTAGCCAATGCACCCCTCGACCATTCGGTATAAATAAATGTACTATCGTTGATTCGTTTATATTGATATAAATAACATTTAATACATAAAATTAGTTTCTGATATACTTGTTTTTGTTCATTATATAATACTCGACTAGTTGAATTTATTTCGTTCATCTGTAGATCTATTTATTTCCTTTCATTTTTCATTATGTTTTATCAATAGACGTGAATCTGACTTTTGGAAAATGATGTATAAGGACATGCACATAATTTTTCATTATTTGTTTATTAATAGATTCCCAATAATCTTGCAATTTTATAACTGATCCGGGTTTTATTTTAAGCAATTAGGTCTAAAAGAAATGTTTATTGGTTGGGCTTTTCCATAGGCCTTAGCCCGCAACAAGTTCCCAGTACGGTTAACTTAGAGCCCAATGAATATCTCAATCATTACTCTAATGCCAAAGGAAAGTTGGCCCAATGGGCCTATTTGTTAGCTCCTATTCGAAAAATTACACCCTCTATCTCTTTGTTTTAAATATTATAAATATATTCCCTTGCCCACGGTGGGCAGTGCCCACTAGTTTGTTTTATACGAAAAACATATTTTGAGAATACGTTTTTCAATTAAATTTAATTGAAAAACGTATTTTCAGAATACGTTTTTCATATAAAACAAACTAATTGACACTACCCACCGTGGGCAGATGAGCGGGACTGTTAAATATTATTTACATAATATGACTCTTGTGGTTTTTAATTATACTTCTTTTGTGGACGCTATTAATTTTTAAAATTAGACGTGGTTTCTTTTCTTTTATCTTTATTAATTGACGTATATTTATTCACCAATAATGTATTGACACGTGTTTTACAATAGATACAATTTGGACAAATGCAAATACATTAAGTGGTGGATGACTCCATAAAAAAAATCATCTGATGACTCCATAATTTTATTTTATCCATGTCTTGTATATTCAATTCTTTGTATAACACGTGTTATGACGACGTCATATTTGTACATGTATCATTCATCCAATAAAATAAAATATGAGATAGAAATATGAAAATGAAACAAAAGATCCAATCCCTCATATTTGTTTTGAAAAATTAGAGGTACAATCAACATTAAATTTATTGCACATTTGAATTATAGTATGTTTTCGATACAAAAATAATTACTATTTGTATCACAAACAAAAGTTAGTAATGGCGCCAAACATAAAGTCGTCCCGCTTATGTGACTCTACTTTTTCTGGTTCCATCCAATTCGAGCAATTGATGTAAAGTCGGGTATCACCTAAAGCAATTAAATATCAAAACCCGATGACATCATAGTGTCACTGCAGAAAACCGTAGCATAATCTACCGGAGGTAAATCCATCTTCCCCAGCAGCATAAAGTGCACAGCACCTCCACACACACACGCAGAGAGAGAGAGAGAGAGAGATTTTAGACGCCTGAAAACACCTCCAAACGCCGTCTAGCACTTCCCGGAGAATGGCGGAGGTTATCTCCCTCATGGACATCGATGGCGAGAATGACGACAGCCGGTTCCCGAAACCCAACACCAAGGGCAAAAACGTCGTCGTTTCAGCTGGTCCGGCGGACACCAAGGCCACCCCTTGGGTCGAGAAGTACCGTCCTCAGTCTCTCGAAGACGTCGCTGCGCACCGTGATATTGTTGAAACCAGTAAAATTCCTCTTTATTGTCTCCTCCCTGACTGTGTTTTTTGCTCTTCGGCATTTATACAAACAGTTGGTGGGCTTAACTGTAACGGCCCTCCGATGCTTTTGAATTTGAGCTTTGGGGCCAGTTATCGGAAATTTTGATGTTTGTTTTCTGATTCTGGATGTTTATACCTATGGTTGGAGAATTATTAGCATACTAGGGTAGTCGAGCTCTGATTTTGAAGGGTTTTTGGTTCCCCTCCTTTTGCAGTAGTTTACTTGTGCAGTGATAGTTCTTGTGCCTTATGTCAAATTTGGCAGCTCTTGTATCCTCAACTCACATAAATTTTAATGTTATCACGTAATTTATATCTGGAGCTTCCGTTTTCTTTTGAGCTGCTGTAATTTAGTTTTCTTGTTTTTTGGGCTCCAGTTGATAGGTTAGCAAATGGAAACAGATTACCCCATTTGCTACTGTATGGGCCACCAGGGACAGGGAAGACATCAACTGTCCTTGCATTGGCTCGTAAGCTTTACGGAAACCAATTGCACAATATGGTCCTGGAGCTTAATGCTTCAGATGATCGTGGGATTGATGTTGTGAGGCAGCAAATTCAGGACTTTGCGAGCACTCAGAGCTTCTCTTTTGGGTATTTTGCGTATCCCTAGGGCCAAATTATAAAATCTACTCTTAATGTTTAATACAGTAGTGACTAGTGAGTTAGCAGATTTTCTTGAGATTTATGGTCATAGGTTCTGTTTTGTAGTGCAAAGTCATCAGTGAAACTGGTTCTATTGGATGAGGCAGATGCCATGACTAAGGATGCACAATTCGCTTTGCGTAGAGGCAAGAACCTTTCGTTTCTCTTACGGCTCTGTCCGTCAATATTCTTTTTTCATTTTTCTCTTCTTATTTTGATTTAGGTTATATAATTTTGGTTCATGTAATTGCTTTGCAGTGATTGAGAAATACACAAAGAGCACTAGATTTGCTCTCATCTGCAATAATGTCAACAAGATCATTCCCGCATTGCAATCGAGATGTACTCGGTTCCGCTTTGCTCCTCTTGACTATGTTCATGTCATGGAGAGACTTAAGCATGTCATTAAAGCTGAAGGGTAGTTATTGAGCCATATTTATCCACACTTCGTAGTTGTTTGGACGGGTTTCAGTTTCAAAATACTAACTAGACTACTGATTTTCTTTTAAGTGTGCGTGAGTGCGCGCAAGTATGTTGTGTTCCATTCTTTTTTCTTTCATTGTTTTCTTTCTATCATAAGTTGTATATGGGATCATTGGTGATTTTGAGCTTATATCTGTTAGTCGCATATTTTGTTTATTCAGACTTGATGTTCCTGAGAATGGCATGAAAGCTCTTGTACGGCTCAGCAATGGTGACATGAGAAAGGCTCTAAACATTTTACAGGTTAACATCTTGCGCAGGCTTTTTATCAACTTTTGTTTACCTGCTGACTGTAGCTTCATTCCTCGACAAAAATTGAATTTGAAATGTGTGGAACTTTTTTGGGGTTACTTGGATTTATAAATCCAGTATCCAGGTCTTCTTTGTGCATGTCTCTCTCTATCTCCCTCTCTCTAATTTTACTTGGTGGTTTAAAGATGATATTGTTAAATGGTACAATAAATTGATGGTTTTGTGCAGTCAACACATATGGCTTCCCAGCAGATCACAGAAGAAGCTGTGTACTTGTGCACAGGAAATCCTTTGCCTAGAGACATCGAGCAGATTTGCCATTGGCTCTTAAATGAACCTTTTGCCTGTAGCTGCAAAAGTATGTCTGTTGTTGAACCTCTTGCACCCTCTGATGTTTTGGTATTCATCCATTTTATTTCTTTGCGATTCATGATATGCAGGAATCTCCGAAATCAAGACTCGTAAAGGGTTAGCTCTGCTTGATATTGTGAGAGAAATAACCATGTATGCACAACTATTCTTATCTGTTACGAATTGGATGTTTCTTTCTTACTCATTTGTTGCATATACTTAATATCAGGTTTGTTTTCAAAATCAAGATGCCACCAGAGATTCGGATTCAGCTGATTAATGAAATGGCTGATATAGAGTATGTATCTTTTCTTTTATTCTTTGTACATTTATGCTGATGACATATTAGTATCCTACTTAAATCCATATTCTTAGAACTAACCCAGTCCCAGCCTCGGGTCGATTTCTGGGTCACTAAAGTCAACTGCAAGGCCAGTGGGTCTCTTGAAAACATGACAATTAATTTAGAATGATAAAATATTTAAATCTTGCCTTTCATAGAAATGCTAATTAAATGGCAGATGCTATTTATCTCTATCTTTTCCCCCTTACATTCTTTTTGTATCCAAAGCTGGGAGATCTTCCAGTTTGGCCGAAGGGGCTTGTATATTTTTTACAATCGCTATTTATTTAAATTGTTCTTTTTTTTTGCATAAAATTTAGAAACTAAATCCGTTAGATGTGAACTTTACAGTTTAGAGCCTCACCATAACTAATTTTTAATCATAATATCATAAGAAACCCAAAAAGATAGTTTTTATGTTATCCCTGCTTTCAACGACTTCCCTTTTCGAATTGGGCAGAACTTACGGTCATTTTGATTCCTATATGGGATTTATCTTCAACCTTTGTATTAATTTTCCCATTATGATTTCGGGTGATACAGGTACAGGTTGACTTTAGCATGTAACGATAAGTTGCAACTCGGGTCACTGATTGCAGCCTTCACACGAGCCAGAGTTGCTCTAGTTGCTGCTGCCAAACAATGATGCATAACTTAACCGATGCCTTAATTTAAGGTTAGGAAAACTCAGTCATGTCTTTATATGTTACGTTTCGTTAAGTGCATTAGAAACCATCGGTTTGTTATTATCTGTCTAAGCAAAAATGGTACTTCTTTCACTCTCTTGGTTATGCTAATATGAGCTAGTTTTTTCCCTCGAGATCTTTTTATAAACATTATAAGCTGCTCTAGTTTTTCTCTTGGTTACAACTGCACATGCCGGGGGTACGTATGTTGGGCCAAGTTCTAATAGGCCAAAAGTATTTGTACCTTATGTTTTTCATCATGTACCACATCATGAGCTGCTGATAAGTACGTAATAATGTCTGTGTTGTACGTTTTTGTATGAAGCAGAGTGTGAACAGGACCTTCCAGAATGTGCGAAAATCTGATGCATTTTTTGTGTGTCATCGTTATCGGAATTGAAGAGAAGGATTTGATTGGATTTGAATTGCTACATTTTTTTATTTTTTTTTCCTATAAATTAAATGTTGCATTTTTTTGCTTATTATTTTCTATCACAAAATTCAAATCTTTCACATCAAGATTTCGTTTTCATACACAAAAAATTAAAAAATTAAAAGATATCATTTTCAAACACAGCTAGCGTACAATTTATTTTTGCATTTAAGAATTACTACGGTCTGGAAAGATGACTGTAGTGAAGCTATATATGATGTTAAAGGCAAACTGTAATGTTTGTAGTATTATGTTTATAATTTCAGGTTGATTCATAATGTGTGTGTGTGTGTGTGTGTGTCTATTTTCAAGATATTTTATTTTGTAGGCAGAAGAAATAAACAAATTCTAGAATGGGGCAGACTATAAAATATCTTCGAAGGTCAACTTTTTTAGAATTCAAATTAAGAAATAGCTAATACTATAAAAATAGGATATGCTACGGTCTACGAAACTATTCCGTCAGGTTTATAACTATTAGATTAACTATTCTCGACGGTTACATTATGTTGGGATTTGTAACCGTTAAATCAATTATGTCCGACGATTACATGATGATCTAACGACTGCAAATCCCGACTAGATGATTCCGGAACAATAACATTTCCCTCTAAAAACAAGAGTTTCCGTTAAAGTTGTGGTTAGCTCTGGCTTGCCAATCAGGTAACAAACCACAAGAACGATTCATATCAAATCATTTTTACTTTTTTAATAAAAAATAAATATTTATATTGTGAAAAATGTTAGCTCTATATTTTATTTAAATTGTTTTCTAGATATTTTACGGATTCATATATTTATTATAAAATTCCAGCTTCTATACTTGAAGATATTTCACATAATTCTCATATTTCACATCACATGTCAATTTCAAACAGCTCAAAAGGATAATAACAAGCAATGAACAATCAATTTCAAACAAAAATGGATAATAAATCCCATATTCGTAAATACGCATTTTCATTGATAATAACATGAAACAAAAGACAGACCAAAAGAAAATAAAAAATAAAAAGACTACAGTCTGCACCAAAATAATTAAATCTGATAGAAAATTACTTTAAAGACAAAAACAACTATACCAACACACACTAAACGATGCTGCACGTAGCATCCACGCTCCGACTTGCACGTGCCCAGTCATAGACCTAACTAAAAGTCTCCTGTGCCACGCGCCGCCGAGCCGAGTAGCCCCCCACCTCCTTCAGAACGGCTTGGTCATGTACGCGTACGCCTCGCTCATCGGCTCCATCTGATAGCCGCTGGCGAACTGCGACCCCACCAGCGCGCCGGCGCCGGCGCCCACATAGTCGAATGGGAAGTTGAGCGCCGAGCTCCCCCAATCGCCAAGATTCGGCGCACTCTCGACCTCCGGCGACAGCACGTGCTCCGAGGAGGCTGAGCCGGCGGCCGCGCGGAGATACTTGAAATCCTCGTACATCATCGGCATCGACTCTGGGAATGACGTCAGGATGTCGGGCTTGGAGTCCTCCTCCGACGTCAGCGCGCTCGCCAAGTCGTGACTGGTGGCGTGCGCCTCCGGCGTCGGCGGCTGCCGCTCGATGGCACCCTTCTTGTTGTAGATGCGGCAGAGCACCCAGTCGTCCAGCTGTACAGATTATATCACAGCAGTTAGATTTAATTTATTTATAAATGTTGGTAATTCAGTTAACTAATTAAGCATTAAATTGAAGTTGCTTTTTTGGGAACTACCGTAACCATTCTATTTGTAATTGGTACATAATCTAACGATTACAAACTACGACAAAATATGGTTCCATTTTTAATCGTTAGGTCATCATTTAACCGTAGGGGATAGTTAACGAAATATGGTTTCATTTGTAATCGTTAGATCATCATTTAACTGTAAGGAATAGTTAATCTAAGAGTTACAAATTACGACGAAATAATTTAATAAAGAATGTAGCATCTCCTTGCTTTATTATCATTAAACATGTACTACGCCATTTAATTAATTAATTTCAATTTATCATTCCCTCAAATCGAGATTTTAATTTTTTTTGAACCCACCCTTAGACTGTTGTTCTTCTTCCGGGCCGACCGGTCCACGTCGGCAAGCCGGTACTCATGCATGATCCAATTGGTCTTCTCCCCCTTGGGCGCCTTGCCGGCGTAGAAAACCAGTGCCTTCTTGATCCCGACCGGCTTCGGCCGCCCGATCGGCTTATCCGCCCCGGTCGCCTTCCAATACCCCCGGCCCGCTGCCCGGTTCGGCCTCGACCCGTTCGGGTACTTCCGGTCTCTCGGCGAGAAGAAGTACCACTCCTTCTCTCCGTACAGCGCCAGCCCTGCAATTAAATTTACAATTTAATAATTAATTAAAAATGTTCAATTAATCGATTAATTAAGCAGCTAATTAGATCGATTAACGCCTTAAAATCAGAAAACGCGCGATTTGATTCGGGTCGGGTACAAAAAAGTTTTCGAATAATCGATGAATCAGTTCGCTTCGGGTCGGGTCGAGGTACCTGGGAGCTCCCACGGGTCGTACTTGTAGAGATCGATCTCGGCGATGATTGGGACGGCGATCGGCTGCGACGCGCATTTCCGGCAGAGGTAGTGCGTCACTAGCTCGTCGTCGGTGGGGTGAAATCGGAATCCCGGCGGCAGCTGCAGATCAACGGTTGACATTTTTTTCCGATGCTCTTATAATCTCGAAAATTGGGGAAATTTTGGGGTGATTCTGTGAAACTTAAAACGCAAGGGACCGAGGGGAAATATATAGGGCGGAGGGGGAGGAGGGGGACACGTGGCTGGACGATTTAGAAGCCACGTGGGAGATAAGGTTTTTGGGACACGTGGCGAGAGGAAAAGCAGCGGGGATGGGTTTTTAAGTATTGTTTTGCTGGCGTCACTGCGTACGCATTTAAATTTGGACGGGTTATTTGAAATTTGTGTAGGAGGTGGAGTGATGTGTGAGCCTGTGAGGGTCAATCGACACGTGGGCGGGTCATGCAAAAGCAAAACGGTGTGGGATTTGGACCGAATTTGAGTTTGATCGAATTCGAGTCGAGCTCGAGTATGTTATCGATCTTGAGCCCAAATTTTCAAGAGTCGAACCGTTTGTCGAACGACTTGAAATATGCAGTAAGATATTTAAATATCCTTTATATATATAATTCACAAAATTGTCATAGGTGCATAATTTCTAGTTGTTAAAATTCTAGTCAAACTCGAGTCGGTTTCGAGCATCGAGACGATCTCAAACATCTTCATTTGTTTCACGAGTCGAGCTCGAGCGCCTTGTGCTCGAGGAGTGAAAAAAAAAAAGGTCTATACCGTCACACAATCATCATACTTTTTAAACACAAATAAATACGTTTAAATTGAAATGTGATAGTTAAAAACCACATGAATAAAAATAAAATATTTTATGGTATAGGTATTTATTTTTATTAAAAAAATAATAATACGTGCTGATCCAACTTATATAGTTAATTTGTTGATACATGAATTTGTGTATGTGTATATTATCCTTTTTATTTTTCTTTTCTCTAATTCTTTTTTATAGTTAAATTGAAACGTGATAGTTAGATTTGATTGTAATCAATTTTTTATTTTTTTTTTAAAAAAGGTTAATTAAAGTAATTTACCGTTTGGTGAAACAAAATTAATTAATTAAATACTATGAAAAAAGACAAATCAAGATTTCATACAGAAAGGTCACAAGCGAGGAACTTTCTTGAGGAGTTGAGTCGTGACTTTTGATTATAAAAAATAAAATAAAGTGGTCCAAATGAAGTGAATTTAAATGGTGCTTTTTCCCCACAATTTTATGGTCTTCATTTTAAATTCATATATTGGTCCACAAATATTGATTCATTTATTTATTTATTTTGACTCATATCAAAATAATCAATACAATATTCTCCCTTCATTTTTTATCCTCGGTGTTCTTTCCATGGCAATATAATGTGATATTATAATATCACTCATGAATTGTCTCATATTTATTATATAACGAAAATGGATCTAGTATATAAGCCTATTCGGTTACTACTCTCATCATCGATTAGTTTTGAGATAGAACCTCACTAAGGTGTACCTAGTGAATTGGAGACCAGCTCTATTCCCGGATGATCCGATCATGCAGGAAAAGAGGATTATCTTCATGATTCTCTGTTCCAGTATTACTGTATTAGTTCTCCCATTCAGTAGCGCCCATGCCTCATTGTGTTGTTCATTGTGCGCCATTGATGAAGAAAATCGAAAAATGTTGTCCACTACAGTGTTTTGTGACCCGGACCGGCTCGGCGGGTCGACCCGGGACCCGGTCGACCCGGAGTTGGAATCGGTCCGGGTGGGTTAATTGGACCGGGCAACAACGGACCCGGTCAAAACCCGGTCGACCCGGCCTTGACCCGGTCGACTCGGGGCATTGACCCGACTGGGTCAACCCGGTTGACCCGGTCTATATGTATTTTTTTTTTGTTTTTAAATTTTCTTTTTCTTTTTAAAAAAATAAAATTATGTATATATATTATATGATAAATATATACATATTATTACCACTTTAATCTATAAACTTTACATACAAAATATTTAAATTTATTATTTTTATGTATATTTATGTATCACAAAATACTCTATATATAATTTTATAAATTTTAAAATTAATTATCCAATTCAGCAATTGACTCGGTGACCCGGTAACCCGAAGACCTGCCCGGGTCGATTACCGAGCCGAGTTTAAAAACTATGGTCCACTGTACGCCATCGATGAAGGAATCCAAAAATTTCTAACAAGGCAAAAATATCTAACAAGGGCCACGAAATCTTCTAATAAATAAACTGTAGCACGATCTATTTTGTTGCTATGTCTAACTAAAATCCGTATAGTCAAGATACATATTTGATATTGATGTAATTTCATAAATTATATT